CTCGCTGGCAAGTGAACTCGCCTACCTGACCTAGTCGACATCTGCGGTTCGAAGGATGATGTCCATAAAACGCTGAAATTTATGCACTGCGTTGCGCAGACAAATTGTCATGCGAAGAAATTCAAACAAAGCGTATGGTGTACTGAGTGTGGTTTTAGCTTGGCCTTCCTCGGCGACCGGGCTCTGGTGGTAAGCGTGTACCAGATCAATTTTCCAGAACACACGGACTCCTCAAAGATTAGCCGCTATCTCCAGGAGGTGCAGTATGGGTTACGGGTCGGGAACGGTTACGTTGTTCAGTGCGCGGTAGTCGCCACGTGGTCGCTAGCCTCTTTACGTTTTAGGCACCATGTGCAGCGGCGACGACCGCGGGCTTTTCGAAGATCTAACTAAACATAGTTCGAGCAAGTGCGCGAATACTGCTTCTGCGATATGGAATTTACTTGGTGAAGTTGTCTGGCCTTGGCGAAAAGAGGCGCTTTTTGCAAGGCTATGATGTTTCGCGGCATCGGTTGCGGCGGATATCGGAGTGACTGCACGATAGACCTGTGGAAAACGGTCGTGGAGCATTTGCCCGTTGGGCAAGCTCATCTGAGTCGTATACACAGGACGGATTGCCTCAGTATCTGTCTAAGTCACAGTGACAGAGAGACACGTTAGAAGGTCGACGAGACGGTGCTGCTCAGTATCTACAAGCACGTCGCAGTGATGCAGAAAATCGAGTCCGAAGTTGGTTGATTGAACGTATGCAACCAGGAATACCTATATAAAAAATCGTCGTAATGCAACGTTGAGCGTGTGCGAACGTCGACCATACACTCGAACGATGGTTCCGGCAGCTGCGCGTAATGAGCTAGTCACGTTCTCAGCAACGACAGTAGTATCGCGTAGGCTAACGCTAAACTTTACGCCTGTAGCAACGAGGTAGCGTAGTCCCGTTTTCCGGCCGGTAACTAAGAAAAGTCGACTGCAATAACCAGCAACGTCCGTCGCCCCCACGTGCTGGCCGGTCCGTTTCCCTGTGTTTGGCGCTGAAACAAACAAGGAGAATGGCACGTACTGGCGTGCGGAACAAATGGTTTGTGCCAACAGCCGTTGGATGGTATAGGTGGGCACTTCGAAGAGTAACAAGGACGGCTTCGGCTTTTAGGACAAGATCGGTGATTAGATACGAAACTGAAATGTCTTCCAGTCGTTTATTTGGCTCGGCCATTTGCGACTTGAGTTCTGCTAACTCAGCATCAGAGATCGGTTGGACCTGCCAAACTTGGGCTTATGGTTCTCAGCTACTGTCGGCGGCGTCAGCTAACATGGACAGTGAAGCATCGCCATTGGCGGAAAGCACGTGGCATACTTCATGCGGTAGTAATTGTGACCACATCTCCTGGGAATATTGTCAGCTACAAATGTGGGTTTTGCTATGCTTTGCGTATTTCTTAAAAACTGAGCGTGCTGAATATCCCCGAGTTGCGTTTCGCTCAATAACTTGTTACTCTTTGTCGGTCGGACAAGCCTGTTCTTCTCAGAACTACGGCTTTAATCGTTTCATAACTTTGCTGCTCCTTCGACAGACTTAGAACGTCATCCAGAGCGCCGGCAACATGTGGTGGGAGCTCGGCTGGGACGTGGTGGCACTTAATGTAACCGGAGCTAATAAGAAGTAATAGGACATGCGCTTCTACCTGCGAAAACCAGGTCTTAAGATTAGTCTCGGGAAAGGAGGTATAGGGAGACTAACGGTACTAGCCTGTGCGTCCGAATCTGCATTTATAAGTTCCATGGCGAAAATTACTAAGCCAGCAGAATGGAAACCAAAGATTAAATCTATAAAAGATTAGAAATGTAGATGGAAAATGTGGCCGAAGCTGAAAATGGTTAGTAAAAGACGTACCAACTGTAGGTGCAGCACCAAATGTAAGTCGCGTATCACCAATTAGAGCGCGTTGGCCTAACTCCATTGCCGATACTCAGGTTTGAATGGCCAACCAAAGGCATGCAGCAGAACACACTGATGTAAGCAAGGAATATATTTGCTAGAAGGTTGCTAAATCTTAAGACTAAAATTAAGGCACCGGATGATGACTAGCTAAGGATTATGTGGTAGGGGGCTGAGTGCGTTCGAAGAAGCGACGTTCTTTTAGAAGTCCGCGGACAAAGTACGTAGGTTGGCGACCTGTCTCAAATAACAACGTGCACCATCCAGACATCCAGATCACTTACTTCCTTAATACATGCGAAAACTATAACCTCATAGCAGTTAAGCTTGTATTACACAGCAAACGGGAGATTCTCCAGGTCACTACATACACTCTTTATCGTTGCGGACAATGCTGTTCTATTCGACACCAGCAAAGCTTTTCATACAAAGAAGATACAAAACCGTTAATGTCTCATACGATCAGGTGGGAGGAATTAACGTCCATTAGCATGTATGTTGTCGGCCCCAACTGTAGCCTCGTGAGTGGCGCCCTTTCAAACAAAGGGAAACCTTTTCCTGATAACCCAGATGGCGCATATTCAACCAGGCGATGCTAGCTTTTGCAATACCTGAACTGACTTTAATGTTTGCGCGCCCCGTTTTCCCGATCTAGATGCGAAGGTAAGCTATTTGTTCAGATGCCCGGAGTTCTGGCCCTCAAATGCTGAGGGGTTAGCATGTGGCTTGTGGCCGCGCAACAACACTTTATAATTTGCAGCTACAAACCGCAAGTTAAATTATAACTCCAAACTAGAAAGAGTATCTGTGAACAACTAAGGCACATCAACAACCATTTAACAGTAGGACAATCTTATCCGCATATCCAACGTCAACTACCATTTTACTGATCACCACTTCGATGCCTGCATCGTAAGATACTCAAAGGACAAGCGCCACGGAGTCCACGACGAAATTGATAATTGAGTACTGGGGTGGCTCCAAGGAACGCTGCCTTTTGTCGGTAAGCTTTCTTATAAACCATCACAGACGCTGACCCGGCCTGTATGTTCGGGTACGGGACACGTACCTGCTCAACTAGTCATGTCAAAGTAAGCTTTATGTATCCAGATAGGTACGGTTTCATCAGTTTAAATTATTGACAACGGGTGAGCTAAAATGTAAATATGAGAACTACATTTGTAGGAAATTATAAAAGGACACTGTGTGGAAGCGTCACGAATGAACGACCAGCCTTAAAGTACAACAGCTAAATAGTTCCGGACAAAATTTTTAAAGCCAGCGTAGCAAGCTTGTTATTCAATCGGGGCCGTCCATCTTCAAGTGCGCAGTATAGTGTAGCCGGGCTAAGGGCTTCACGGTATCACGTTAACAGACAAGAGGTCGATCGCTTTCGATTGCTGTTATCCTTCTCTTCCTATTCCACCCCGGCACATTCCCTTATCTATTCCGTACTCATTTAGCTGCCTGTTTTAGATAGGCCAATTGCTAGGCAGTTGCGCATCCAGCGGTCTACGAGGTATGTTTTGCATGGCAGCTTGTCGCACTACTTAGACAAGAGAAGGCATAGAACGCCAGACCGTAATAATATGGCGCATTTGGCGACCCAGCTAGTTCCTGACTGCAGTCCACGTAGCTAGATCATAGCCCTTGTGAAAATAGATAAATTTCTTCTATCGTGTTGCTTGTCGTTTAATCTCCCAAGCCTATCGAGCTCAATGCCTCTTGCTAGTACCTAAATTTATGCCATTAGGGGCCAAGCTGGACGCTGATAGCAGCGCCCGCTGAGAAGGGGGATAAGCTAGCCGGTCCGTGGGCGTCACGTGAACACGTTAACAGGTAAGGGATCGATCGTCTTCGCTTCCCGTTTTAGTTACCTTCCCATTTCCATGGCACTTTGCCTTCCCCCTTTCGTGCTTCCTTGGCTGCCTCCTTTAAATCGGTCTCTTTCTACGCGTCAAGAGCATCCAGCCGTCTACGAGATGTTTACTTTGCATGACAGCTTGTTACACTACTTGTACACGGAAGAGCAAACAAAGCCAGACCGAAGGAATATAACAAGATTGAATTAGTCCCGAAAACTACACAACGGACCGCAACGGCACCTAGAAAACGGCTTGACCAATACCTACGTTAAAAAGCTAATGTATTTATAGCAACATTGCAGTGACAAAGTTCAGTGAAAACGGGGAGTTGTTAATTGTTGTAGGGGAAAATGGCCGTAAGGAGGTGTTGCGTTTGGGCACGTGTAATATTGCAGCGCGCCAGTGTCACTGTTACAAGCAAACCCGTAATTTGTCGTCAATTGTAGACTAAATTATGAGCCTCGTTTCATCTTCGCTGCGCTTTCCTACTTCTTCTTCAGTGTTATTGTATTAGGCAACCTTCGTAGGCTTTCACGCCATCCATCTAGTCGCCTTGTCCTCGGTTCTCCATCGGTAGCTGTAACAGTTCAGCGCAGCTGGCCGCGAGATATAACACAAGCACACCATTCATTCAGCTATGACACCTACTAGGTGGTTTTCCAGCCGCCTACGAAGTATTCACCTTACCTACCAACCCCCTTTGGTCTAAAGCGAACCACTTACGCGCCAAAACCAGCAGCCCTAGGAACCCACATGCGGACGCCTACTAAATAATTGGCGAACTTACCAGGATTTCTTGGGGTGACCCGCTAATTTTTCTGTCGATCCTTCAGTGCTGCGTCTAAGCGACGCAGTCGATGTTTCTTCGGCAAAGGGAGTAAGTCACAAAATTCCACTGGAACTTCCTCCTAGCCTATGGTTTGCGAGCGTTTGCTCAACCCACCAATAGCTTGATTTGTACAGCAGAGGCGACCAACTGTGTCCGCTCCTGTTACCGTGAAATATTATCCTAGGCTAAACTATGGAAATTGGGAACACCAAGCTCATTGATACTTGAGTCAATTTCTGGAAAACGAGCAGCTACCGGTTTTGTTGAGCCTTCTCGGTTCAGATTCTCGGGCCAGGGAGGTGGTCAGCAACCTGGTTGCCGACGCTACTTTCGCCCGATTAAAGGCCAGTCACTCAGCATCTAGACACGAATGGGAACACGTCTGGGAATTTATCGTTACGCTCAACGGAAAGGCGAACAACTGTCTGTCTTCGCCGCGTCGTTGCTTCCGCTGGCAGAAATCGGCTGCCCAACGGTGGACAAATCGGAGCGAGTGCTGTCCAGCTTACGCCAAGCTCTTCATTGTCATACTAATCCTGATACTTTGCGGGTGTTCGAAGAGAGACCGCCGACAGGACTGAATGAAGCGCTTCACAATCTGGCAGCAAAGAACAGTTTTTCGAGCTCCTGTGCCGTATTCCACAACACTCCGAGCAAGACAGTAGCCAACCGATGCTCGCGGCTCAGCAACGACGACACTCTCGGCCAATAATGCAGCAATAATTCGCTGTCCGCAACATGCTAGGCCCAACGGAGACGACTACAAAACTTCCGTGCTATCCAAACAATCCCGGAAAGCCACCTATATTGTAGAAGCTTTGGGATGGCCGCGCACACACGCGGGCACAACCGACGGGGTGTTCACCAAGCTTGTTCGTTTACCGTACCTGCAGTTTCCGCAGTTCATATTGCGAAGTCAGCTATAGTATTTGGCTTAAGGTAGACCAGACAGTCTAAAACGTTATTTGATAATGCGGCAACTTGCTGGTTAGTCCATAGGCTTGTCGCTCCGAAAGCCGCGGTGCAACACAAAGACATTTTCGTCAATCTTGGCGCAGCAAACGGGACTCCCATACAACCTGTAGATGAGGTTGTTGCTGCAACAGAGTTTAGGAGAGTTTCCACCACTAACTGTTGGTTTGTGATTGACAAGCTCCCCAGGGTCCTTTTGCTGAGCGAAGGGTTTCTTTCTGAATTTAGAACCCAAATAGCCCAATCCGGTTGAACTCTGGAGATCAGTGGACAACTGATAACATTTGGCACAGCCTCCTACCACGTGTTGACTGGTGCGGTAAAAGGAAAGTTGGTAAAAGTACATAATGCAGAAAGGCTTGCGGATATTCTGACCCATGCACGCAGAACTTTAGCCCAGATTTTAAAAATATACTAGTAGGCCTTTGCGTGGACCTTAGAGGACTTAGGGCTGTGTACTTTTGCCCAACATCGTACTGAGAAAGGCAACGCGCGGCCGGTTCGCCAACCGGTAAAGAGTGTATCTATTCTGTTCCAGGAGGACTTAGGTTGCAACGTCGAGGATTTGGTGCAGCATGACGTCATGCAAGCGCCCAAAGCACCTTAAGCTACTTCTATCGTTTTGGTCAAAAAGAAACTCAATGAATTATGTCTCTGTGTAGACCACCGAAAAATAAACGCCGTCACATGGACTCGTTCTTACGACCGCGGATGGACGACGCTATGGACGCCCTCGTCGTTTCCCGCTGGTTCACCACGTTGGGCCTAGCATCAGGCTACTAGCAGGTTGAGCTTCATTCCGCTGAGCATGCAACTCGGCATTTATCAGTTCATCTGGCCTTTTTGATTTCCAGACGATGCTCTTCGGGCTGAATAACCCTCCTGCGACCTTTCAGCGTCTGGTACACCATGCGCTCTCCGAATTCACAACAGAGCACTAGCCAGTTTATCTAGCTGATATCATCACTCCTGGTAGGATGGAAGAAAAACACAACTAAAGTCTGACTCACATTCTAGATCGTCCAAATACAGCTAAGGTTAGAAATTCAACCCTCGAAAGATCAGTTTTTAATAAGCAAGCAACCCATCTATGTCACAACGTATCCGAACATGTTGTGTTACGACCCACAAAAAGTCGTGCGCTTCCGCTCATGGCTTGTACTAGGGAGGGTTCAAAAAGTACGCAGTTTTCTCAGCCTTGGTTCTTAATACCGACGGTTCATGTGCAAATTCGCGATCTTTGCCTGGCCGTTAAATAAATAAATAAACAAGTATTTTATTCTCGACTATGCGAGGCACGCCAGTTGAAGCATGATCAGGAATGTACAGCTGTACAGACATCTTATGGGAACTGTAGTGACAGTAGAAAATTGTTCATATGTCCATGCTTGGAACTGTGCGATGGTGAACATGCGAAAGAACGATTTGGTTGTAGTGGGATCGGGATCCATTTGTTTGGACATAATCGCTCTGCCATATATCGCAGTCATACCTCGACTAATAATAGATAAAGAATCCTGAGTGATCCATTGGAAGATCATTGAAGAGCAAGCTATCCAATATGAAGATTCTAATCGAGCTGCCATTTTGAAGTTATGGGCTGTGACTTTATTCGGTGGCGAGTCACATTCGCCACGTTGCAGGGTTGTTAAACGGACATTTGTGTATTTTTATAGGGAGAACGCTTGCCAGGCGAAAACCCACCACGTCCTGAAACACTGCCGCCAATCCATTGAATGGCAAGTTGTAACTGGCTATGTTTCTTGTTGAACGCTTTTTTGCTCCGTTATTCGCAGTCAAATTGCATCCCATTTTTCTGCTGACTGATTCGTTATGCGAGTGGCCATTGCGTGCCTGGGTCCTCTCCTGTGCCCGATCGGTAGGTCAGGAACTAAGCCTTCTTTCTGGATATGATGTGTTGATCATCTGCAGAACCACGTGAAGTCTTGAAGAATATACGTTGAAATATGTTGAAGTCTTGGAGGACAGGATCGGTTCCGAAGAAAGAATCGCAGATCCCCCGGGGTATGTAGTGAAATAGATTAGAGATGGGGGAAACCACGGCCATTTGAGCGGTCAAAGCGGATTGAAGAGCTTAGAATGACCGATTGTTCAAGCTTTGTATTGGCAGGAGAATGTGCCTTCCGTAGTCGAAAGTCCTCCAGTCAAGAGATATGGGAAGAAGTATTGTTAGGTAAATTGAACTCAGTGGTTCATGCCGCGGAAGAATTGTATTAGTGCAAGATATTGATTGATTTGTCCGGTAAGTACGTTGTAAAATGGTTAATAATTTTCCGCTCATGTCCAGGTAAAGGAACTGTGTGCCTTGTATTGTTGCCGAAACGGAGGACAATTCCTTGTGTGCGTGTCGCATTTATAGGTGGGTAAACTCTTTATTTAGCAAACAGATAAGCAAGGATCGTTTGAGAACATTCGCACCACCTTTTGCGAAGGGCCGGTGCTTAGCTACCCTGATACTTCTCCATCTTCTGGCACTTTACACCTAGACAGGGGCGCTGGCGAAACATGCATTAGAGCAGGGCTGTCACAAGGCATGCCAGAAGGGACCGAAACAGTCATTGCATATACAAGCAGTAGCATAACAAAAGGGAGCGTAACTACTTCACAACTCCTAAAGGGTTGCTTGCCCCGGTGTGAGTTCTCCAGCAGTTCCACCACTAGTTGCTAAGCCGTAGGTTCATCGTGCGCACCAGGCACCAGCCCTTGATCGGTTTTCAAGACTTTTGTGATCCGGAAGGGCAACCTGCCACGTGGCAGGAACAGTTACAGGAGCACTACTTCGAATTGCAACACCGGCCGGGCACAACGCATACAAAAACCGTCGGGTTATCTCGGAATCCTACTAGGAATCCTGGAAAATGTTCATCATGCACGAGCGCATGCTTGCCCGCAATTGTCCTTTGCGCCTCTGGAACCGAGGAGGGCAGTAGGTTACAGTTAAATGGCCCAGAGTTTAGCCCGATTTACGACCGCATCTAACAAAACAACGACAGACCAAGACATCAAGAACTGGCCGGTGCCAGCTGGGAGAGGAAATGCGTGTAGCCGCTTTGGCCGCGTTAACGCGTGACTATTAGAATCATGTATTGCCAAAAATGGCCCCACACACTTAAGGAGAATTGTTGTCCCAACCGCCGCATCTCAGGAAGTGATGTCCAGAATACACAGAGGTAGGATTTGTGGGACAAAACAAGGGGGCTGAGGCTATCCGCCGCCGTTACTGCTGGTCAAACTTATCGTGCGACATCGCGAATTACTGCCAGCATTATGCTGATTGTGCATGAAGCAAAAACCATACAACAACCCCACATGGGCCGCCGCAACCAATGACAGCTGGGTCCCCTAGCGACCCAGTTGGCATCAACATTTTGTGGCGGCTACCAGAAACCGCAGGCGGACATTGTTTTATCCTAGTGATTGTAGACTATTTCACCAAGTGATGGGAAGCGGTTCCTATACCTAACATAGACACATGGAGTGTGACCAAATCGTCCTTCATTGATTGAGTAGCACGATGGGGATCACCATCCCAGTTGAATTCTGAACATGGATCAAACTTTGCGAGCATTCTCATGAGCGAGTTGTGCCACATTTTTAGCATCCGGAGGTCCAAGGTCACTACTTACCATCCAGAAGGAAATGGATTATTTGAGCGCACGAACCGCACCCTCAGAACACTGCTACAAGCATTCCTTGATAATGAGATACTGAGAAAGTGGCATACGTCGTCGCTGAGGTGTTTGACAGCCTGCCAAGCGTCTGTCTTTACGTCGACGGACCAAGCGCGGCATGATATAATGACGAAGCTAGAGCTGCGGCTACCTTCGGACATGCTGCTGCCGACGTCACGCCACAAGCCGCTAGTGGCATCTGATCAATTACTCCGGAAGCAGGCAAGCCAGCTGCGCGCGCATCAGTTAGCGCAAGCACATCAGCAGAGCGCACAGCGCCACCAGAAAGGTTACTTCTAACGGAAGGGCTCTAGAAGCCAGTACCAACCAGGGAATAAAGTTTGGCTTAAGGAGATCGTAACATCGGCGGATGTCCTGAAAATGTCCATCGAAATTGGGTAGGACCGTACGTGGTAGAATATGTACGGTCTGACTAACCTTATCGAAGCAAGAAACCTAGAGTATCGGGCCACGCCGCGGTCGTTGATTTCGACCGGCTAAAGCCGGCGTGCAGAACTGCGGGCGCTAAAGACAGCGGTAACTGACAAGGTAAATTGTAGCATATTCGTGAGCTTGTATTTTTTGCCAGACAAATATGCCGTTTCATTTTTGCAGGATGGTCTATTGCAGTAGAATATATGGAGGTGGCATTCCAAGGAAGTTACAGAGAAATTCCATCGAACACTTAACTCTGTGGGTATTATGCTTGTTTTCCGCGGTGGACGTGACCTTTTACACGCACGCCAGTTTGCACTTTGCTTGCTCGCTTGTACCTTGCTGTACACTTTGCGTTGCTCTCGGGCGTTGAACAGCACTTCTTCCACTTTCTTTGTCGGTCTTACTAGATGGTTGTGCTAACGTTTTCCAGCCGTCTGAAAGGTCTTTGCTTGATCTTTCTAGCTCCGCAGGTCTTTCGCGACTCTTCGGATACCGCATTTCGGACTCTCTAGCCTATTGCATAATTGTAATATGCTTCCGGTCGTAGGCACAGAGGGCTGCTGTTTCCAGGGCGTACGTGGTTTGCATTAGAGCGAGGGGCTGGAAGGTA